GACTGAGGCTGAGGTTGACTTGAGATGCAGAGAGGGAAAATCCAACACCAAGTCCAAGGGCACTGCACACCAGCTCTGAGCAGCAGCTAGAGGAATTCTGGACTCCCTGGGACATTTGACCCCTCCCACAGCGCCAGATGTAAGCCACACTGGTGGAGGCAAAGCTGAGGTTGATGGGTAAAGATCTCAGACCCCACCCCTGGCATGTGACATGAAGGGGCTGGTGCAGGACTTGATAAGAAGCAGGAATTCCACAGCAATTGTATTAAACTTCTCTGAATTAAATTGACCAGGGCACATTTGAATTGCTCCTGGCCGCTTTCCCATCCTACTTCTTTTCATGATGTTTGCCTCCATCTTTACTGAACAGTAACTCCATGTGCGGTTGGCCCTCCACAGATTACCATTTGTTCTCCACAGTGGCACTCTAGTGAGCAGAATGGGGTGTCCATTCCTGTTTTAAAGATGGGGAAACTGACTCTCACATTGCTTATAAGTACTGTCAGTGGCATCTTGATTGGAATGCAAATCAGTTCAACAACATGCACATCTGAAAACCTGCACTGGGTATGGACCCTTCTCCAAGGTCCTGGGCTAGGTCCCGCCCCAGAGGAGTTGATAGTTTATAGCTGGAGTTGTTTACTCTGGTCTAGACCAAACTCTCCTGGCTGGAAGAGACAGACGTGCATTCAAGCTTTGTTTCAGGAAAAAAAAAAAAAGAAAAAAAATTGAAAATAAAAAAATCCACAGAAACCAGAGTGGCCTAATGAGAACTGGTCTCTAGAGCTGGGAACCTATAGGAGATTGACTCTTTGTCTTTTTGCCCCGTGTCACCAGGGCCCCTCAGCATTATTTTGCTGTGTTCCTCTCTGGTAGCTAGGATCTCTGACTTAGGATCTCTGTGTGGCATTGACTCTGATCCCAACTTGATGTGACTTTCCAAACTAGGACTTTAACAACCTACTTGCTCATAGCCCAAGGGCCACAAATCCAAATACAAGAACAGGCATCCACCCGGCTCATCCAAAGTCAGGCGGTGACCCTGTCCACGGTGGCCAGGAAGGCATGGTCGTATAGGGAAGGCAAATTTTTCTCTTTACCCTCTTAAGGTGATTCAGCTGGGTCCCAGAATTTAAGTTGACATAAAAGAGATCCACAGGACAAAAGCATGCACATTTATTTAACATAAATTTTACGTGACACAGGAGCCCTCCTAAGGAAATGAAGGTCCACAGAGACAGCTAAAGTGGAACATGGATATATTGGATTGGATCCAAAGTAACACATTGTGGAAAAATGATGTGAAGATTAGAGTTATGTTAATTAGTTCCGTACAGAATTCTCCAATCTCAAATTCTCGTCTTTATGATAAGAATGCTATTTTCCTCCTATAGAGAGGGAAATTTCATGTGGGAATTTCACCTCCTGTGTTGAAGTAGCAACATGAAGGTCAGAGTTAATATTCTTGTACCTGCAGGTTTAAAAGTGTATTTAACTCAAAATAATTAATGGGCTAGAGTGGTAGAGGCTTAGTTCCTTCAATCACCTGGCACCAATGTGGCCAGAGATACCCAGACCCCATCAGATACACTGAAGAGAGAATTCTCATAGGACATATTTGGGTCCAGAGAAGGTTCCCCCAAACCCGTATAAGACACGTTTATTGTTCTACCATGTCAGTCATACAGTCTGTGTCTCCTAGACCACACGTGTCTCATTTTGCCTTATGTTGTGGCTACTAGTGTCCTTGCTGTATCCCCTACTGAACTTGGAGCTCCTGTAGGGAAAGAATTTTGTCTTCCTCACTTCAGTCTCTGGAGTCTGTGTCTAGCTGCAGGGCAGGGGACTAGCTCTGAGGGTTGCGTTTCGGTTATAATGAAGAGTTTACTCTCCAATCATCCCTCTTCCAGATGAGATGGCTACTTTGGAAACCATCTGTGGGAGTGTCTCAGAGTCATCTTCTGTCCTCATGAGCTGCTTCTGTTGTCTGCAGGCCTCTGGACTTCGTGGGGACTTTCAGTAACCGGTGGTCCTATGGAATCGCCTTTGGGGCCACAGCCAATAAGATCATGTTCTTGTTCTCAGAAGGCTACCAGCCCCTGCAGGTCCCGCAGTGGGCCCAAGGTACAGGCCGCCTCACTCCTGCTGGGACTTCACCATGGACATTCCTGCTATCAGGGGCCACAGGGATTCTCTGGGGACAGGGGGTTAACATTGTGAACTGCCATGTTCTTCCCGGCCTGTGACTCGCCCAGGGTCAAGACCTAGCCCACAAAGCCCTAAACCTGGTTTGTGGGGGCTTTCCCCCAGCGAGGTTCAGAGACCCTTTAGACGTGAAGTAACAAGGGAGCAGGAAGGGGGATTGTCCTCCCCTACACCCGGCTGCTCTCCTGAGTCCCAGCCTCGCTGCCTCTGGTTATCAACAGCCCTGGGATTCCTCCTCAAAGCATAACGTTTGCTCCTTTGGCCACTGGCTCAGCTTCCCATCCACCCCTACCTCCTGCCTCCTGCTTCATCTGAAGGAGCGGGTCTAATTTACAGGTTCAGGGATTTCCTAGACAATTCCTGAACCTCTCTGCCCAGCCCATTTCCCTCTCGGGGACTCTAACTTAAAAGATCAAATGCCTACTAGGCTCTCGTCCATCTCAGAACCCAAACGGCATCTCACTGGACACCTATCAGAAGTACCCAATTTGAGTACCCAAGTTTTGACCAATATTTATTTATACCCATGAATCCAATGCCAAAATCAAGATAAGGGACCCCAGAAGTTTCCTTATTCCCCTTTGTGACCTCTGATTCCCTGTGGCCTCCTGTCACTGCTCCATCTCCAAGAAGCCACCTACCTGCTTAGTTTGAATTTCCCAGGATTTTGTATATATGGAGTCATCTGGAATGCCCTTTCTTTTCTTTTTTTTGACCTGGCTTCCTTCACCTAGCATAATTATTTTGCAATTCATACATGTTTAGCGTTCATCAATAGTTCACCTTTTTATTTTTTATTGCTGAGCATATTTCACTACCTATCACAGTTGATCCACTGACCTGTTGATAAACATCTGATTTATTTGCACTTATTGGCTATTGCAAATAAAGCTGCTAACAAAACGTTTGTGTACAAGTCTTGGAATCTGTCCATGTTTCCATTTTCCTCAGGTAAATATCTATGAATGGAAGAGCTGGGTCATATAGATCATACAGTAGATCATGCTTTTTAAGAAACTATGTAACTGTTTTTCAAAGTCATTGTAACCATTTTTAGATGGCCACCATGGTATATTAATTGTAGAATTCCTACATCAGCACTTGGTATGGCCAATCTTTATTTTTAGCCATTCTGCTTGGTATGTAATGGAACCTCATGGTGGTACTCCTTTGAATTTTCATAGTAATGGTGCTGAGAGTATTTTCATGTGCCTATTTGCTGTTCTTATATCCTCTTTGATAAAGGTTTAATAACAATGATTCTGTCCAAGTCACTTACCTAGTTTTGAAAATTGGGATTTCTGTTTTCTTATTGAATTCAGGGAGTTCTTTATATATTCCAGGTATAAGTCTATTATACGATACATGAATTGAAAATGTTTTCTCCCATCTGTGGCTTGTACTCTCATCCTCCTAACAGACTTTTGAAAGGCTGACCCCTTTAATTTTGATGAAATCTAATAGACTCTGTTTTTCTTTTATGGTTCATACTTATGATGTCATTTAGGAAATTCTTGCCTAAACTAAGGTCATGTAGATTTCTTTTTTCTTTTTTTTTTTTTTTTTAAACATTTGGAGCTTTGATACCTTTTCTTCTTATGTCCTTGGAGCCTCTCCCAGGATCAGCTCAGAATAGACACTTGGTACAGGCCCTCCTGCATGATTGGATTCTCCTAGATCCTGTTAGAACATCTCAGAGCTGGGGAGTGGCAGGACCCGTATGTAGAGGGCGTGCTGTAGTGTACATGCATGTCCCTCTGTGTTGCTACTGAGCGCTTGTGGTACTGTATTCTCGTAGTTTTTGTGAGTGTCTTTCTGTGGTCTGTCTCCACCTGACATACTGTGAGCTAATCACCTGCAGGGATCGAATCTTCTCCATCTTTTTAGAAAGCCCCCTGCCTGCCCAGAGCAGGACCAGGAAGGGCCTGTTGCAGGAATGACAGGCTCTGCTCCTCCTTGGGTGTAGCCTGGAGCTTCTCCACTTACCCCCACTTGAGGTCTGTACAAGCACCGCAGCTCCCGGGGGTGAGGAGGGGAGCTCACCGTCTCTGGCCTTTCCTCTGCCAGCCTTTGTGCTTCTGATCGGAGGCTTCGAGGTCGGCCTGTCCTTCTTCCCCTTCTTCGCCTGCCTCTCGTCCGAGTTCCGGCTGACCAGCTCCATCCTGGGCTTCTGCTACTCCCTGCTCTGGTAAGATGGACTCTGCCGCTCCCCTGCACCCCCTGACTCCTTAGGCTGGAGGTGATCTGAGTGCAACCCTTGAAGGACACCTTTGCCCAGAACTGGGACCCAGAGTGGGCAGGGGTGACCTGTCCAGGGTCCCATGAGACCCCCTTCTTGAGATGCACTTGAAACTTCCAAAGGTTAGAGCAGCATTCTGTCTGCCCCACCTAAGGCTGCTCATTATTAGAATATTCCTAGAAGTCGAGGACTTAAGCTACAAGAGTCCCCCTGGGGTAAACGAGAACCCCATTTGATGCTTCTCTTTAACACTATCATGGCTTGTCTCAGGATCCTCAGAGAAAGCGCATGTGCCCTTGCTTGGTATTTAAGGGCACCGAAGCTGGCCTCTTCCTCCCTCTGCAGTCCCCAGCAGTGTCTAGCACACACTTCCACCCCACGAGACCACACTCCTGCACTCCTGCACCGGCTCACCCAGCAACCACTCTTACATGCCCACCCTGAGCCAGGGGAAGCAAGACAGAGACGTGGGCCCATGTTCTGGCCCTTGGTCCGTGTGTTCCTGTTCCTGGTGTGGGTCATCTGCCCTCCACCGGGCTCAGGGGCAGATATGAACTCCTGCTCCATGCATAGTGGCTCCCGCCAGACACCCAGCTGTCTCACCTGCCTTTTGGGCTCCGTGCCCTCAGCACGGGGCACCAGACTGGCACAGAGCTGGCACCAGGGAACACTGTTGACTGAGTAACACCAAGAACGATTCTCCAGCTCCCAGGGGGAGGCTCATTTTCTTGCCTTCAAATCCCTCCAGAACCTGCTAGTGTTTTCCAGGGGGCAGGTCCTCAGTTCATCCGCCAGGGGTGGCCGGCAGGGCCTCACAGCAGCTGACACCAGCGGCCACAATCCCAAGTTTGTCAGTGACGTGCTTCTTAGACATTTAAATTGAGGGCTTCCAGGGTTCGATGTGGAGCGCTGTCCTCCATTAGCCGGTGACAAACCCTGGACAAGGAAACAGGAGCATGGGACTCACTCAGCAGCTTGGCTGCCATGGGGCTGGGGCCCGACCTTGAACGTGACCAGGGGAGTGTGTTGAGCCAGGGTCAGAGCTTCAGAGGGGGTTTACAGACAAGGCCACAGAGAGGCCGAAGAGCCTCAGCTGCCCAGTCAGGAGATCTGGGTCTGAGCCCTGGCTTGTCCCCGCATCCCTGTGCCCTGGATAGACCTTGTCAACTCTGGACGACCACGTCCCACCTGAACAATGGGGGAAGGGAGGACGAGCTCCCCACATCTTCCAAACAGGGTGCCTGAGTGGGGAGGGACATGCACGGGATCCAGGCACCAGCCCTCCCCAGGGGGCAAGGAGCCGGAGGCAGGTCTGGGCTGGTGGGATCTG